CGGATGGTCACTCTCGCCGGATCCGATAATCCTCGGTCTGGCGCCCTTGTTTTCCTTTTTCTGCCGGAGGTTCACTGCTTTTTGGCTGCCTCGCACGGCTCGACCAGGTTGCAGGTTTGAGGTTCGCAGGCCCAAGGTTCTCAGGCCCTGGGTTCGCGAGTCACAGGTTTGAGGTTGCAAGTTGCAGGCTTGAGGTTTGGGGTCCGTCGCGCATCCAGCCAGATTTGCAGGCTAGCTCGGAGATCGAAGTTCGATGGCTCGTCCAGGTTCGAGGGTTCGAGTGTTCGAGGTTCGAAGAGTCGTGGTTCGCAGGTTCTCTGTCGAGATGTGCTGCTCAAGGAAGTCCGATCGACCTGAAATTCATCATCTGTTCATGGCTCTATTGACCAGATGTGCTGCTCAAAAAATTCATCATCTGTTCATTTGCTTGAAGAGGAAGAAAATTTGCTCGAAGAGGAAGCAAATATGCTAGAGTTGTTCAAGGCCCATGGACCAGTACCAGGCCAAGGAACAAAGGACACGCGGGCCACAAGCAGCCCGCTCAGCCCAAATCACCTCACAGCTTTTGGCCCAGTTTTATCAACAAAGCGGCCCAACAATCACAGAGGATCCACCATGTTCGCAGCCCTGTTTTCAGCCCACCGAGAAGGCCCAGTAACAACGGAGGCCCAACATCCCGCAGTCCATCAGCAGAGCAGCTCCAGCGCGCAGGCCGCGCCCAGCCCGTGCGGCCTGCTTCCCTCACAGCCTCCAGCCCGCGCAGCCCGCGTTAGGCCCACCTGATAACGGACCGTGTTCTTACCTATTTCCGGGTTGTGAATAATCGCGCACTCAGGGCCTTCGATTATCCACGATAGATGTATCTAGTAGACGCACTTCGGCCTTCTCCTAGACACTGTGACTTCAAGACGCTCTAATGGCCTTCTCTCCGACACTGTATGTAAACACGCATTGACGGCCTTGTTTATCACACGTAAGAACAACAGTTCCCCTCACAATTGGCTCACCAATTCAATACTATATTCAACACCTCATCTCATGATGGGTACATGTGGTATTTATAGGTGCAAAACTAAATCTAGGCCTAATCAAACTAGATCTCCTAATCTATGCAATAATATAAATCCTAATGCTAGTAAATCTCCTAGCATCTTCTACTACTAATAAATAAAAGCAACTAAATATTAAATTCCTAAACAATCTAGATATTATTGTGCAAGAAGGAAACTAAATATACTAGAGTCTTAATTGATTAGATTGTCTTGATCTTGCTTGGCTTGCACTCCAAACAATTCCAAATTCCCACGCCCCACGTATTTCGGCCGCCTGATCGCACGCCGCCCTTTCGCGTTGCCTAATCCTCGTCGCGCGCGGTTTCACGTGCGCATCTCTCGTCACGCACCGCCTCCGCTAGTCCTACTCCCGCACGGGCTGGGTTCTCGCTCACCTGCCCAGCACGCGCTCCGCTGACTTGCGCTGCACGCCCTCCACCTACCCCTTGCGCGTGCGTGCCAGCGTCCCTCTTGCCTAATCCTTCGGCGACTAGGTGTCGCGCGCGCTCCTCACACACGCACGCTGTTGCGCGCACTTTGTCCGTGTCGGCCCTTTCGCGTGCATACTCACCATAGTCTGGTATTCCTAGGCCAGCGCGGATTAGGACATCCGCGCTTCCGCCCCACTCGCAAGCCCTTACGCGCGGCTCACTATCGTTGGCATTGACCCGCGCTTCCTTGCTACCGTCCGCACCCCAATCGCCTACGGTGCTCCCTATTGCGCCCTCTGCTTCTTCGCACGTCGCACCCATTTCCCGAGGGCTTCGCTCCTCCACCTCGCACTCGCGTACGCCCGACGTCATCCGCGTACCGTTAACCTCCATTGCCGACTCGTCTATTGCACACCATCGTGCGTTGCTCGCGTTCGGCATCTCGACGCCGTTCCCCTGTGTATCGTCTTGACCCTTCGGCCCCTTGCGTGCATCACGGCACGATGTGCGTTCTTCGCTCGTGCTCGCACTCTCATCGCCAACCAACCTCGAGTGCTCGCCCGACTCCTTTAGATCCCCCGACGGCCATGGGTCCCAACCATCCAACCCGATACAATCACCAGCTCGCCATATCCAACCATCCTCCATTCTCTGCTTACCTCGCCTTCGAGCTTCCATTCTCTAAACTCACTTTTTCCTCGCACAAAGCTTGCACCAACACTGACTTGCCTTTGCTTTGCGTCGTCTCTTGGCCTTGCGTTTCTTTGCCTTCAACATCAACCTTGGACCACATCCTTTTGGCCAGTCTTGTACACATGATGGCCGATATATTGGACTTGTCGGCTCCTCCAGCATGTTCTCCAGCCATATATCTAGATCATCGCCACCTTCATCTTCCGACTCGCCTGGGTTAATGACCACTTCCGTATCATTCTCCTCCTCTTCAAGACTTTCCTTGTCCTCAAGGATTAGAAAATTTAGCGCACCTTCATCACCATTGTTGGGAACTTCGACCACCATTGCTTCACGGGCTTGTACGAGTTGTCGCTCGTACTCTTTGATATTCCTTCGTGTTGGAGCCCATGAGGATCTCGATATGCACAAATCACGGACAAACATTCAACATAAACCTATGCGCAGCGGATCTAAAGGTTTGATGTAGAAAACTTACGGCTTAAAATTTATGTAGATCTGGCTGGCCCGAACAGATGACCGCAAATCAAATCTTCTTGCAATCAAACAAACTTGACCAATCCAGAAAGCTGGCGTCACGGCGAAGTCAACGGCATTGACCGATCGGAAATCGGAGCTTCCACGCCCTCTCACGCGCGCGAGTGAGTCCCAGCAGCAGCGAACTTCCGGCGGCGCGTGTGGGCGCGTGCGGCGGTGGCTGGTGGCGATCTCGACGGCGATCTCTCCAACTCGTCGTTCTGGTCGTCGTGGTATGGTCACGTGCTGGTTTTGGTCTCCGGTTTGGATGGATGATAGATTTGATTGGACTCCCGTATATACCTTAAGATCTTCTATTGTATTCTCAAACAGCTATCTAGATCTTGTATCAGTGGAGCACAAGAAATAGAACAACTCCTTGGAACAGAGAGAGAGAGAGGAGGCGAACGAATTCCCAAGGTTATGGGATTGTCTCTCTCTTCCATGAGCCTAATGCTGTATATATAGAGCTACAGTAGGGACCCTAAGGAGAATAGGATAAGGGCTTCTAATATATTAATATTTTGGAGCAACTCCACAATTAATATATTAATAATATTAAAGTCCACCACAATAAT